GCGTGCAGAAAACGCTAGGACTGGCTCAGCACGTGCAGGGTAAGCACAGTCGCTGGGTTGGTGATAAGGGCCATTTTCAAGGTGTCATGGACTTTCTGTTTTTAGGATAGCAATCGATCAGAAGTTCATGAAGGGACAACCATTTGCTCTGGAGATGCTGGCTAAGATGCCTGTATTGCATGTCAGCAGAGTACCTGGGTTCTAATTCCAGCTTCACTCCCAATTACAGCATTTGCTAATGCATACCCTGGGTGGTAGCTGTATGTCCTGCTGTTCGTGGATTGAGGTCACAGCCCCTGCCTCTGGCCTGGTCCACCCATGCTGTTGCAGGTGCTTGGGGAGTGAATGAACAGCTGGGAGCTCTCTGTCTCTGTTTGCCTCCTAAATAAATAAGAATAATTAATTTTTCAAATTTTATGGAAAACTAAAGACTCACTTATTTTGCTGCAAAAGTTTTTGAGGTCCTTATAATTTTCTCATAATATACATTTTTCATGAACTTTTGAATGGATTTCAATTTTTTTTGCACCAGGATAGGATTACCTTTAATTCTGTTGATCAATAAACTTTTTAAAGTACCCATTTTTTAAAGATTTATTTTTATTATCATTATTTTAAAAGTAGGATTTTACATACACACACACGCATATACAGAAAGAGAGACAGCGGAACAGTCTTCCATCTGCTGGCCCACTCTCTAGATGGCCCAGTGGTGCAAAGCCAGGGCGTGATTCCAGGTCTCCCATGTAGGTGCAGGGGCCCAGGTAGTTGGGACATCTTCCGCTGCTTTTCCCAGGCATATTATCAGGAAGCTGGGTCAGAAGTGTAGCAGCTAGGACTTGAACCATCGCCCATGTGAGATGCCAGCGTCCCAGGGGCAGCTTTGCCTGCTATTTCATAATGCCAGCCCCACACAACTGTTGTCTATTGCCACACAGCCTCTTCAGGTTCCTGAGGAGCTGATCATTTTGTTATCTACAATGATTTATGGTCAAAGAAGTAAAATGTATAGGACGCCCTGGGAAAAGGGTCCAAGGCAGTGAAAGATAAGAAATCATGCACTTGGTGCCTGGAGGCGCTAATCATTCAGGACCCTGGATCCCGTGGACTCAGTCTGTGCATTGCTAAAACAAACCACATGGACTGCGTGGCTTAGAGGTAACAGGAACTGATTTCTTCACGCTGGAGGACAGGTAGTACATTAGCCGCATTTTATCCATGGTATCTCTTTCCAGGAATTAAGTTATCTTTGATGAACCATGGTCTGAATATATGAAATGAACAGTCCTAGAAATGATGTGTGATCAGTTCTTAAAAACCATAACTAACTGAAACGTTTTGAGTTTTCTGTTTCTATGCTTTATTTCTTCTGTACATAATGTCTTTCCTCAAGGTGGAAATATAAGCATTTGGGGGCATCTTTATTAGTGATTGTGTTTTTCAAATAAATGTTAATATCAGTTAATACTATTACTGATCACTACTGTTGATAAAAAATGATACTTGTCTAGTACCAAAGATTCAGTTGACCAGTTGGATGGAAACAAACTATAACATTATTAAGGGAGACTAAGACCGGAATTCTGCAGGTGTGTGTGTTCCTATACACACAGACAACATTTCTCCCTTGATTTTGAGTTTGGGATGACTGTCACCTGGTTACCCATGAGGGATGTGCTGGACCTTGGGCCTTAACATGTGACTTTGAAAGGAGAACAATGCCTGGCAGTTTCCTGTGTGTCATTCCATGCCTTAATTTGCAGCGTGTGAAACAGCAGTGGAGCTCCTGTTTGACAGCGTCATCCACCTGGGCTGTAAGCCCTACCTGGACAGCCAGCGGGCCGCATGCACGTGTCGCTACGAAGAGAAATCTGACCTTTAAAGAGGATGCAGACAGCTGGGGACAGATGAGGATGGAAGAAATATCTTTGGGCACAGAAACAGACTTTTTGTGGCGAAAAGATGTGTGTTTTGTATGTGAAAGGATGAAGCCTTTACAAGACTTACATTTTGATGTTAGGACATCATGCCTGGTGTGATGGTGAGGTGGCTAACTCCTAGCCTTGCATCCACCAGGATCACATAAAGGCACCAATTTGTGTCCTGGATGCTCCATATCTCATCCAGCCCCCAGCTTGTATCCAGGAGGGCAACAGAGGACAGCCCAAGGCCTTGAGACCCTGCATTCGATGGGAGATCTGGAAGAAGCTCTTGGCTCCTGGCTTCAGAGGAGTTTAGCTCTAACTGTTGCGATCACCTGGGGAGTGAACCTGTGAACAGGTCTTTCTGTATCTCCTCCTTTCTATAAATCTGATTTTCCAATAAATATATAAATCTAAAAAAAATACATCAAGCAAATTAAAAAAACAAAAGTGAGGTTATGAGAGTGCCCTTCCACTCGTCACCATGGCCGTTGCCCTTGTGTGCCAGATTGCCTTGGTCAGTCTCAGAAACGGGTGCATTAAGGAAAAATTTCTGGAAAAAAATGAGTATAACCATTTTTGCAAACATATTTATCAATAACAAGATTAAACATAAAGGACATTTCAAGCTCTGTTCCATACAATATTATTTGAAAATATAGAAAATCTTTGTTTATCATAAAATTTTAAATGCACACTAATGCCTGGAAGGAACTGAGTTTCTTTTTCCACCATTTTAATTACACATGATGGAATGTCCTTTCTCTAGCCCACTGTGCACATGGGTAGGTCGCCCACTTCCCAGGACACTGTCTGGGTCTGTTTCCCTTCTGAGATTTGAGCCCCTGGTGTCAGTCCCTAGGAACAACTCGGGGACTCCTAAGTAGTCTTGAAGCAGAAGCAGAGCTGAGCAGGCTCAGCAGCACAGCCTCTGCCATCCCAGGAACTGCTGGCATGACAGGTGTCGTCTGTTGCTGTTGCCTCTGCCTAACTCACAGAAAAGATGGAGTTTATGTGTGCATTTTAAAATGACACACATGAGAGCGCTTCAGGGCCTGCATCTTTGATGTTTATTGCAACCTTTTACCAACTGTGGTGTGAATAAAAATTGTTCTTGATGTTTATAAAAATTTATTTTATTTATTTCAAAGACAGAGTCATAGAGGTGGAGAGAGAGAGAGGACTTCTATCATTTGTTTGCTCCCCAAATAGCCACATCAGCCAGGGCTGGGCCAGGCTGAAACCAGGTGTCTGGAACTCCATCAGGGTCTCCCACACAGGTGGCAGGACCCAAGCACATGCACCATCATCTGCTGCTCTGCCAGGCACATGAGCAGAGAGCCAGAGGAGCAGTAGAATAGCCAGGACTCCAGCTGGCTCTCTGTGGGATGCCCCTGTGGCAGGCAGCTGCTCATCCCCCTGCTGCATTCCAGGAGCCTGAAACTCCACCTGAGTCTCCCCCATGGGTGGCAGGGCCCCAAGGAGCTGGGCCATCTGCTGCTGCTTCCCCAGGCATGTTAGCAGGGAGCTGGGTCAGAAACAGAGCAGCCGGACACACCTGCACCAGTGTTCTGACACGGGATGCTGCTGAACAGGCAGCAACTGAGCTGGCAGCACACAATGCAGGCCTGTATGGATTTAAAAAATATCTTGAGATGAATTTATACTTTGGATACTGTTTATTTTGTTGCTCAAATTGTTTTGGTTTAGCTACTGACCCAATCTCTTTGCTGAAAAAGTTACATTTTTGTTAGCTCTCCATTTTCTTAAGTGGAGGGATCAGAATATTCCTGTGCTTTCTATACAGGAAAAAAAAAAAAACTACTAAAAAATTAGTGTGGTAAACACTGCAAACAGTGACCAGTGTTCAATTTGATAATCACCTCTGGGCTCAATTTTATTTCATAGCTACTTCAATCCTAGGAGTAGTGATAAGCTAAACCTTCAGTTTCTGTTTCATGATGTAGGAAGAATCAGGCCTTCCTGTCCATCTTAGTATATAGAAATTGTCCCTTATATTTAAGCATCACATAATATTAAAGGTTTTGAAAGTTAAAAAATGAGGACCCGGCGCAGTAGCCTGGTGGCTACAGTCCTCACCTTGCATGCACGGGGGTCCCATTTGGGTCCCGGTTCTAATCCCAGCAGCCCCGTTTCCCATCCCTGTTTGTGGCCTGCGAACGCAGCTGAAGACAGCCCAAAGCTCTAGGACCCTCGACTGGCATGGAAGAGGCTCCAGGCTCCTGGCTTTGGATCAGCAGCAGCCTTGGCCATTGTGGTCGCTTGGGGAGTGAATCATCGGACGGAAGATCTTCCTTTCTGTCTCTCCTCCTCTCTGTATATCTGAAAGACCTTCCGTGGGCCCTTTACATTCCGAATCCTGAAGAGTTCGATGACACCATCTTTTCATTCAGTTGGACACAGCTGCTCCCGGAAGCCAGTTTTGCAACCACCACCCAGGGAGGGCTAACTGGGTTTGCACTCCCTGCACACAGCAATTGCGGGGTGAGAAAACAAGCTGCAATCCTGTGAGTTTGCTAATGGCTTGCTTTCGTGTGATCTACCTGTGAGGGTCAGAGCTGAAAACCCTGTTGTGTCTCCTGTTGTTTGTTAGCCCAATCCCTTAAAACAGAGCAATTGAACGTGGCTCTCCCACAGTGGTAAGGACTTGCCAGGAACCTGCAACTCGCCAGGGAGTGGGAAGAGCAAACAAACACCTGGGCCTGCTGAGCTCAGCGCAGGTGAGGTAACGTCGCCTCCGCGGAGCAGCTTGCACTCCTGAGACCTTGGCTCTCCGGGCTTGGAGGAGGGCGGGATCATCCGCCCTACCTGGGGCCCGCGCGCTGCAGAGCCGCGGACCAGGAACCACGAAATAGGAGGGCAGCCCCGGGCGGCGTACAACGGGAGTCCCGGGGGCTGCGGACGGCCGGAAGCCACCGTCCGGGGCGGAGCGGCCGCGAAGGGGCGGGGACAGAGCGCCCCGGGATTCAGGAAGCGGAGCCGAACCGGACCATTGATCCCGCGATGAGCTCGGCGACGGGGCTCCGCGGAGCTCGCTGTGCAGGTAGGCGGGGGGCAGCGCGGGGACGCCGGGCAGATGCGCGCGCGGTGCGCGGGCGCAGGCTGGTCGTCAGGGACGCAGGCCCGGCGCCCCGAGCCAAGGGGACGCGCGGCTCCCCCGCACATGCTGGACGGGTTCCAAAGGCGGCGAATCCTGCAGGTAAGCAATTGGGTGAGATCCGGGCAGCTTCGGGTCTGGGGTCCTCACCGTGTCTCGGGGCCCCGGCCGCCGTCACTGCCACCTCACCTCCTTGGCGGAGCTGGGTTGGCCCTGGGGCGTGCCCCTACCTTCTTTGTCCGCTGCCCCGGAGCTGCTGGCTGGCGTCCGGCCTTTTAAACTTTAAATGGCTGGGACTTCCCCCACTCTGCGCTTAGCCACTTAGGAAAAAGTTAACTTTGGGGAACGGAATCTCGTTTTGTTAACGCGCTTTTGCATAAAAGGAAAAAGAAGTGGCTGAACCGAGTAAATAGCACAAGCAGTGTTAACTGGCAGTGTGCCTTGGCGTCTGTGGCTACGCGCTTAGCCTGAAGGGGAAGGCTGGGCCTTGGTGAGGTCCGGCTGCCACTCCTCCCCCACGTATTTCCCCCTCCCTCTACCCTTATCCTTAAACTCTAGCAGCAAAATAAAACAAAACTGCCTGCCTTGACCTATGGTCACGGAGCAAGCCTTTATTTTAGAGCAACACAACGGGAGCCTTGCTCCAAAGGCAAGTTATGAAAGCCATCGGGACAGCTCAGGAGTGGCCTGGGACAGGGCAGGCTGTGTCCTGTGCCGGCTTTTTCCCAACAGGTGGTGAGAGGTGGGTATGGGGCAGGGTTCCCAGAAGCCCAGGCACCTGTCCCTGCACCAGGACTGATCCTGTTTGCCAGGTCCCTTTGCTCACCTGCTATCTTCCTCTTCTCCCCTTGGCCGGGGCATAATCTAAGTCTGATGTGGGTTGCTCCGGGCGGGATGTTAAGCAGCATTATTGGCAACATAAGAGAGAGCAGAGACATGGCAGTTGGGCAATGCAGTGTCAGCAGAATGACCAGATTGGACAAGCTGACATGTTGGTTAGAAGGATAGCAGGTCCCTCCATGATGCCAGGGGTGCCTGGAGGGGTCTTTGGTGTTTGACCCCAGCTCCACCTCTGGAAAGCCCCACCCACTTACCCTGATTCCAGAGCCATGGGAGCTGAGGGGAGATAGGTATGTACAATGAGGCTGTCCTGTAGGTGGTGGTTGGTGGGCTTCTCTGAAGGAATTAGCAAAGCCGGTGAGGAGAGAAAGGAATGATAGGTTTTGTAAGATCTGTGCAGATTTAAGCAACAAGAAGTTACGATCTGTCTATTAAATAGAACAAAAACAGGAAGAGCTCCAGACTCCATTGTGTGCTTGGTAGTTGCAACTCAGGGTGGTGGGCAGAGTGATGCAAGGCAGCTTCAGAATTGAGACACAGTGTTTGGGGCTTCTGTGCCCTACGTCAGGACCACCAGCCCTGCTCTTCACGCAGGCTGCCAGCCACTGAGCACCCTCCTGGTGTTTTCTGATGAAAAGTGATCTCAGTACTTGGCTGATCCAAGTACTGAGGGAAAGTACAGGAAGTATTGAATAAGCTGCCTGGAATCCATAGCGGCATTTTGTGAGATGAAAAAAAGAAAAAAAAAATGACCAACTGAAACTCAGGCTACCATGGGATTTCTTAATTCCTTTATGGTTTGTGAGTCATCAAGTGAGACCTTCAAACCCCAACACAAAGGCCAGGCTCAGTCTGTTGCTCAGGTGTTAGTGATTTTGTGTGTGTGTGTATGCGTGTGTTCGGGATGGCAGAAAAGCTTGAAAAATCAAATCATCTCCTAGGTCTGATCCCCCCCCCCTACTGTATTTTTAGCCCTTCCCCTTCCCCATCACAGCTTTGTGACAGTCCAGGAGAAACAAAGTTTCCACAGGAACTCTAACAAATTTCATAAACATTCCTAACATCTAAAGTGATACCTTTGCTTGGCAGTGGTCATAGCCCGGTACCTGTCCTGTCCCCTATGGAGGCAGTGGTGTGTGATCCACAGCCTTTGCCTCCTCGCTGCCCATTTTCCCTTAAGGCACAACCAGCTGCTGCTTCACAGTGCTATCTTTCCCATAGTTGGTGCAAGGTGTCTTCCCTCCTGCCAAGTGCGCTCCTGCGTTATGGATGGGTCACCGAGACTGCGTTGTGATGCCTGCTGCAGGCCCGTGCCAGGCGCCAGCAGAAGCTCTCCTGCATTCTCAGTGTCAGTGCTGCTGTGAGCTGTGGAGTCACCAGCTGCAGAGCTGATCAGCTTCTGTGCAATGAGGCGTTTGCAGTCGTCTTCTAAGAAATTCCCTGTGCATGTCATCATTGTGCACTGAACGGATCTGTCTGCTTACACACTCACATCACACTGGGTGGAAATTCACATGAAGGATTAGAGGGAATGCACTGAGAGTTCAGCAGGATCAGAACAAAGCTTCTGGACTCAGTTTCCCTCTATAACTATAGCAATAAAAAAGACAACAAAACCCTTTTATTCTTTTTTTTTTTTTTGGCAATTTTTTAAACTGCCTTAATAAGACTGCCAAAGCTGTTCACTTTCAAATTTAAATGGAGTTTTTAAAATACCTATTTACATAAAAGGCAAGAGTGAGAAATCTTCCATCCATTGGTTATTCCCAAATGACCACAAAACCCCAGGCTGGTATAGTTCAACATCAGGAAAGAGGAACTCCATCCGGGTCTCCCACATGGGGTACCATGGACCCAAGGATTTGGGCCATCTTCTGCTGCTTTCCCAGGCACATTAGCAGGGAACTGACTCAAAAGTGGAGTGGCTCGTCCTCAAGGAATGCTGGTGTTGCAAGCAGCAGCTTAATCCAATGCATTTCTACACAGTCCCCCTTCCTGGAACTGACCTTCCTAACTGGCTATGTAAACCTAGCTCCTTATCTCTAAGTCTGTAGGTCTTGAGTAAGCTAAGACCACCTGGACTGGCATCTTAAATTATGTCAGCTGGGAAGAGTTGGGAAGCTCCTTTGAGAATAAAAAGAGCTTTATAGACCCAATCAAGGATGCATGACCAGGGGATAGGCGTTTGGCAAAGCAATGAGTTAATGACTGTTTGACACCTAGGCCAGAGTGAGCACCTGCTTTAAGTCCTCACTGGGCTGTTCCTGATCCAGCTTCCTGCAGGTGCAACCTTGGAACAGCAGATCATCACTTGGGAACTTGAACTGCTGCCAGCCACATGGGAGACCCTGTTGAGTTCCTGATCTTTCCATTTTGAAGTGAATTAGTAGAGAATTGAAATCATTCTCTCTCTCTTCCTCCCTCCCTCCTTCCTTCCCTTCTTCTCCCTTTCTTCCTTTCTCCTTTTCTTCCTCTCTCCTTCTCTCCCTGCCCCCTCTCCCTCCCTCTCCCTTCCTGTCTAACTTTCACTCTCACTTAAGAGGCAATGAGAGAAGTAGAGCTGTCTGGTGCTATATCCCTCAGGAGTGGGGTTAGTTTCATGCTTCTGTATGGGGCACACCTTGGGGCCAGGAACAAGAACAGGGAAGATACAGCCACCCTTTTCACCAGCTGAGAGACTGGTTGCTTATCAGGCTGAGCAGGAGAGAGCTCGGGGCTGAAGAGGACAATTGGCTATCGGACAGGTAGATTTCATTGCTAGGTGTAAAGCAATTCTCTTAGTTCACAGTTCAGTCAGCTGCAAGATAAGAAGGTAAAGCTATCAGAAACAGGCAGGTCCTGGGCTGCTCTGGCACATGGGAGGAGTGACAGGCATGTGCTTTGTCCATCAAGTAGGTGTGTGGGGCAGAGAGTGCCAGGACAAGTGTGAGTTGTAAAGAGCTTGCCCACCTGCCTTGCAGCTGCCCCAAGCAGAGACGGGACAGCCATGCAACAGGCTGCTTTGGGCCCTCCGGTAAACTCACTGCTCAGTCATCATTCCTTCCTCCCACAATGAGACTGGCCATCTAGGTTGGGCTCCAGGAATCTGTATTTGCCAGGGTGGATTTTGGGAGTAATGAGTGGGAAAGGACTGCTGCAGGGGGCTTGAGCCAGATTACAACCCCCCCTTCTCTTCAGTGTAAGGGATGTGTCTGGAGGAAATAGTTCACCGGGGAGGAGGACACATCCCTGTTGGTTGGGAGTGCAGGGTAGGGATCTGCATGTCAGTCGTTCTTCGCTGAGAGACCCCAGCTAAGGGGCACATCTTTCTATACTGCGCATGTTCCTCTTTATCCATCACTTTCTCCCCCACTAAGAGGTGGATTTCATGAGGTAACAAGAGGTTCATGGTAGGCAGTAAGATTCCTTACTGTGGAAGATGCTGTACTTGTCACACTGCCCAGTACAGAAACTGCTGGCCACACATGATCATTTAAATTGATTGAAAATAAGTTTGATCCAGGACCTGGGGAGGGTGGGAAATTGGGTGGGCCTTCTCCCTTAATACCCCCTTTAAACATGAAGGAAACAATATGGAAAAAATAATAGTCTTACCCACTTTCCTGTAGCCCTTGAACCTTTTTACCCTAATTAACCTTGTAACGATTGTCAAAATATAATAATAATAAAAAAAAGTTTGGGTTGGCACCATGGCATAGCACACTAATCTCCATGTGCAAATGCCAGCATTCTATATGGGCACCATTTCACATCCAGGATGCCTATCTTCTGAATTAGCTCCTGCCTGTGACCTGGGAAAGCGGTAGAGGATGGTCCAAATCCTTGGGCGCCTATACCTGTGTGGGAGACCCAGAGGAAGCTCCTAGCTCCTGGCTTCCAACCACTCCAGTTCTGGCCTTTGTATCCATTTTGCTGGCAAACCAGCAGATGGAAGATCTCTCTCTTCTCTTTGTTTCTCCTTCTTTCTCTGTAACAATATGTCTTTCAGATAAAAATAAGTAAAAATTTTTAAGAAAATATGTAAATATTTGAGTTCCTCAGTTGTAGCAGCTGCCCTTCCTGGGCTCAGCAGCTCCCATCCATGGGAGAGTGCAGCTAAGAGCAGTTCTGTCAGCATGGAACATTCTGTCACAACACTGTTCTGGAGAGCAAAGGAAGTTGTACCAGCCACCCTGGAGGGTGGGGATCTGACCCAATGAGAAGGGAGGGGCAGACCTTTTGGCACAATGAGTCAAGCCACTGCAGGGGACACCTGGTCCTTCTGTCAGAGTTCCTGGGTTGGAGTCCTGCCTCTGCTTCCTGCTAGTGCCCTGGGAGGCAGCAGATAGAGACCTAGGCATGTGGGCTGTCACTGCCCCCATGGAACCTTGAATGGATATATTGGCTCAGGCTGGCCCAACCCTGGCTGCTGTGGGCAGCTAGGGAGGGAAGTAGAGAATAAGAAAGAGCCAATTCTCTCCAATGTGTCATGGTGTATGTGTGTGTGTGTGTGTGTGTCTGTACCTTTCAGACAAATAAACATTGATAAACAAGCAGGAAGAGAAGGATTCCCTTCTAGGATATCGAGGCAGGTATATCTTTCAGGGGATGCAGCTGCTAATAAGCCTTGGGCAGTCCTGCCTTGCCTTTAGCTTCCTGGGCAGATCAGAGGGTGATGCAGGGTTGACCAAGGCTGGGTCAGCTGTACATGACTCGGGTCCTCCCTCCTTCAGAAAATATTTGCACAAATGTTTTCTGCCTGAATACGTGCTGTGCTGTTACATTTGAGCTCGCTCACCACAGACTGACTATCCTACTTTATGACAAATGGGCTGTGTGGTGTTTTTTTCCCTTTTTAAGAGTATTTGCTGCCTTGCAAGTAAGAGTAGAGGTCAAGAACACCTTCAGCTGTTAGTATAGAGTTCTTGTATTACTGAGAAGTTTCCTGTCACTTCTGGGGTCTTTGCATCAGAAGTTGGGTGGGAGCTCATGCCGTATTGGACCACATGAAGTCAAAATGTTAACAAAAGTCAACTCTGTTTTTTATAGATGGGGAGCAGAACATGGTAGAAACAGATGCCTTCTTTAAAAGGTAAAATGTACATTTTTTAAAAAAGATTTATTTATTTTACTTTAAAGAGAGTTATGCACACAGGAAGACGGAAATCTTACTTCCAGGGCATGGCTGGTCCGAGGCTGGGAGCCAGGAGCTTCCCCTGGGTCTCCCATGCAGGTGTAGCCCAAGGACTTGGCCCATCCTTGCTTCTTTCTCAGGAAGTTGATGGGAGCTGGATTAGAAATGAAGCACCTAAAAAACGAACTGGTGCCCAAATAGAATGTCGGTGCTGGGCTTTAAAATGTGCTATGATTTTTGTTTTGTTTTTGTTTGCTTATTTTTTTTTTAAAGAATAGAAATCTCTTACATGAATTCAGAGCCAGAATGGAGCTAAACAGTAGAACTGAGTATGAAGAGTTTTAGCTTCTGGGAGACTTGGTTGATAGAACAGCAAGGTAGTGGCTGCAACTGATTATCAAAGGGCCTGGAGACGTTCGAGATACTCAGTTATTGGTCTAGCTTGAGCGAGGACCTAGAGTTTGATCCTGAGCTAGGCTGTTGTCCTTGGACATGGGACAATGGGGACATGAAGAAAAGACTCAGCTGTTGGGGATGGGAGAAAGTGTAACAGGCCAAGTGGCATGTGACTTCTGTTCACCAGCCAGTGCAGCACACCGGCAGACCATCCACCTGACAGAGCATGAAGAGGTGGCAGACCTGCCTCTGTCCCCATGTTGCCTGTGGGCTGGCACGAGCTCTTTCCTGGATATAACTGTTGATATTTCTCATTTACAGGGACACATTTGACCCAGCGGAGGAGTACAAAATGGACCACAGGAGGAGAGGGATCGCCTTGATCTTCAATCACGAGTGGTTCTTCTGGCACTTAAGGCTTCCAGAGAGACGGGGCACCAATGCAGACCGGGACAGGCTCACCCACAGGTGACCAGGTTTATCTGCATGTCCAGACAGAACACTTGAGGGACAGAACAAAAGGACCTGTCGTACCTTGTGGGCACTGATGGTGGTCCCAGGGCCTTGCTTGGACCGCTTAAGAACTCACCTGCGTTCTTTACCTTCTTGTGGTACATGTTAGCAGGTGTTGTATTGTCACTAACTCATCTACACATAGACAGAAATATCCTAAATGGAGCAGCTATCAATATAATTAAATCTTTGCTCCTGAGGGAGGACAAGGATTATCATATTTGATATGTTCTTTGTAAAGGAAAAGGAAATTTTATTTGTCATGACAATGCTGATAGATTCCTCCAAGGTAAGAGTATTCAACAACACTGAGAAGTTCATCAGCTAATGTTCAGTTTACTCTGTCACCAGGTTTAAAGAGCTAGGCTTCGAAGTGAAGTGCTTTAACAACCTTAAAGCAGAAGAACTACTGCTCAAAATTCATGAGGGTAGGTAGTTATACTGTCAAATTGTTTTCTTCCTCTGATGGGACTGAGTACTTTGTTCTGTTCTGTAAAAACAGGCACAGACAATGAAGTATTGGGTGAAAAAAATGATTTATTCACTTCAGAGGCAGATTTGGAACACAGTTACATACAAACACACTTCACCCCCAGATGCCACAACAGCCCAGGCTGAGTCAGACCAAAGTCACAGGCCCAGATCTCCATGCAGGTCTCCCACACAACTGCAGTAACTAAGGACCAAGGCATCCTTCCCTGCTACATTAGCAAGGAGCTAGATGAGAAATGAATCAGGCAGGACTCCAACCTACTGCCCGTTTGGGATGCTGACATTAAAGGCAGTGGCTTAACGAACAGTGCCACAAACCCAGGACCTGAAAATGTGTTAATACAGCGTAAGTTATAGGTTTTGGCAGAAATGTTATCAGATTTAAAGACCCTTGGAAAAATTTGGACATGCAAGGTTTAAGTTGATCATATGTTGCCATCTGTTACTCAAGAAATGAATGAAATCACTTCTGCATTTGGCATTAAACTCTGAGAAGCAAATCCTGCAGACATGGAGTGGGACAGGCCCATTTGCTCAGTTGCTTCCTGCCCCATTTTATCACTGGCTTTAAACAATGTCACCGTATCTACATTATGGCTTCTGTCATGTCACTCTTCTGTGAGTAGCTGTGCTAGTTGATCGTATGACTTGATGGTCACTGCTCCGCGGGGGTTTTCAGATCACCTGCCAGTGACTGGCTATAGTGATCTTTGTGTAGATCAGACAATGTCTTTAACACACAGCCCACTGTAACACTGACCAGCTGTACACCAGGAAGATTTGGGCCTCCTTTGAGCTCTTGGTTCTGCCTCCTGTTGTGCCAGTGTGGGCCTCAGTTGGGACATGCCACGGTTGTATCTCTGAATCTTCCCCAGCTGTTCTAAGGTCTCTCTTTACTCAGAGAAACTTTTAATCCTGGGTTGTAAAGGAACAACGCCCAACCAGCACAGTTTTATGTTCTAGATCCTTATTCTCTGTTTCACAACGGATACTGAAATTTGGCCAAAGTCTCTTACTCTGAACTTTGTAAAAATCAATTATGAAATGGTAATGAAAGTTGTGTCTCATTACAGAAGTACTGACTAAGGCACAGCAACACTGCCCCCTCTCGCAATCACCTACATGTCTCTTTGTTCTGTATTAGTAAATGGCCTGAGTCTGTGTGAATGACAGACACCTTCATCTCTGTGTGCACTCTTGGGCATTTTTGCAGCGTCCACCTGCAGCCATGCAGATGCTGATTGCTTCGTGTGTGTCTTCCTGAGCCATGGCGAAGGCAATCACATTTATGCCTATGATGCAAAAATTGAAATCCAGACATTAACTGCCTTGTTCAAAGGAGACAAGTGTCCAAGCCTGGTGGGGAAACCCAAGATATTCATCATTCAGGTAAGCCTACTTATAAGAATTATAAAATCTGTGGTGATTATAAAAGTCTTAATGCCACTCTCAGTTGTTTTTGTTTTTAATATTTTATTTATTTGAAAAGTGGAGAGGTCTTCCATCCTCTGGGTCACTCTGCAAATGGCCACAGCAGCCAGACCCTAACCAATCCAAAGCCAGGAACCGTGAATGTCCATACAGGTCTCCAAGGTAGGTGGGAGTGGCCCAAGGACTTGATCATCATCTACTGCCTTCCTGTGCACGTTACCAGGAATCTGAAGTGATCTAGCTCCCTGCTGATAGCCTAGGAAAGCAGCAGAGGATGGCCCAAGGCCTTGTCTCTGCCACCCGTGTAGGCCACCAGGCTTGACTCCCACTCCTCAGAGCAATGTTCTGTGGTAATTGAGAAGGTGCTGTATGAATTTTGGCCAGAGTTGCATTTTGAGTTGTTAGTAACATGTTAACCCTCTAATATTTTTATTATCATTCTATAGTATTTGGATTCACATTTGAGGTGGCTCTCACAATAACAGGTGCTCCTGGTTGGCCAGGGCCAGGACCCCTGTGAGAGATGCCTGCTTACTGAGCAACATAGCCCACTCTGCCTGGTCTCTGAGAGCTGGGGGAGGAGTTCCAGTCCTCGCAGAGCTCAGCTTCATGTTCCCGCTGGCACCAGGCTTGCCTGCTGACCCGCCATTGCCCTCTGCTCGTCTGTGCCCCCACCCCTCTTAGAATGCCAATCATGCTGGGTTAGGGCCCCAGGGCACCTACTTAACTCTTGTTACCCCTTGCACCCAAATACAAATTTGAGGTAGCAAGTTGGCGCTAAAGGGCACACATGGGAAAGGAGAGCACGGTTCAGCCTGCTGCACTTGCCCTTGGCCTCCCAGTGGAGGACAACCAATCAGGAGAGCGGTGTGCACCTCACTGAGATGGAAACACAAAGCACCATGAATAACTGTCATCTCAGCCAGGCCGTGGCATTTCCTTTTCTTCATGGTGTGTGGCTGCAGCCCAGCCAGCTAAACCCCATGTGCTGATGTTCTGATGAAATTCATACCAAACATTTCTCCTTTTTTTAAAAGATTTTTTAAAGATTTATTTAAGTCAGATTTACGGAGGAGATAACAGAAAGATCTTCCATCTGTTGGGTCACTCCCCAACTTGTCGCAAAGGCCAGTGCAGAGCCGATCTGAAGGCAGGAACCAGGAGCTGCTTCCGGGTGCCAAGGGTTTGGCCTGTGCCTGACTGCTTTGCCAGGCTACAAGCATGGAGCTGGATGGCAAGTGGAGCAACTGGCGTACGAACCAGTTTCCATATGGGATCCCAGTGCAGGCAAGGCAAGGACTTTCTAGGCTACTGCACTAGGCCCTTATCAAAGATTTCAAAGGAGATGATACCCCTTGGGGCCACATGTGCGGTTCATCCATGACAATGTTAAGAACTGTGGAAGCTTTCTCCTCCCCTCCAGTATCCCTCAGCCACCATAACTTAATGTGGAGTTAAAGATGTCAGTTTCCTACTAATTAAAAACTTAAATAGGTAAACAACTGTGTCAGCTTGAGTGCGCTTTAAATTGAAAATTTCTTTTTGTAATTTATTTGAAAGATGGGAAGAAACAGATCTTCTTCCTGGGAGCTTCATCCCAGTCTCCCACGTGTGTGCTGGGCCATCCTCTGCTGCTTTTCCCAGACCATTAGCAGAGAGCTGGAGTGAAGTGGAGCAGCTGGCACCCACGCGGGCACTCCTGTGGGCTGCCCACATCACAGACAGCACTTTTCCAGGCTATGCCACAACACTGGCCCCAAATCTGAATGTTTTTAAACCACAGGTACTGTGGTTTGTGTTATTCCCTGCAGCAAGGTGTGCTGTTTTACATTCCCTGGGAAACTTGAAGCACTGGAAAGACAACAGCAGGCACAGAAGGTCGATTGTTTACTCCTTATCTTGTAGGCCTGTCGGGGAGACAAACATGACGAGCCCGTCATCCCAATGGATGTGGTGGATCATGAGAAAGGGGGACAGGAGAGCAACATGACAGAGGTGGACGCGGCCTCGGTCTACACCTTGCCTGCTGGAGCTGACTTCCTCATGTGCTACTCTGTGGCTGAAGGTATGTTGGTGTTTAACACAGACACAGAACTGGCTTTGGCCAACTTCATGCAAGGATCGCCTTACCGATGTTGCTTTGTGTGTGGTTTTGTTAATAACCATTCCAACTGTAATGAGATATGTGATTAAGGTTTGTATCTGCACCTTCATGACGGCTGGTGATACTGAACATTTCTTTGTCTATCTGTTGGTCATTCATGTTTGTAAAATGTTTATTCATGTCCATTGCCCATTTTTTAAAAAATATTAGTATTCTTGACTTTTTAAAGATGTATTTATCTATTTGAAAGAGCTGCAGACAGGGAGAGACAGAGAGCAAGAGTTATCTTTCATCCTCTGGTTCTCTCCCCAGAGCTGCGACACACTGAAGCCAAGAGCTCCACCTAGGTCCCCCGCACAGGTGCACAGGCTTCCCCAAGGCTGTTAGCAGGGGGTTGCATCAGAAGTGAAGCAGCAGGGGCCTGAACTGGGTGCCCACATGGGATGTTGGAGTCACAGGCCTTACCCACTAAGGCACAATGCATCCCTTTTTCCCAATTCTTAACTGAGCTTTTTGTTGTTGACTATTTTGAGTTGCTTTTATATTCTGTTAATCTTTTGTCAGATGAATACTTTGCACATATATTTCCTGTTGTGTTGATTGTCTCCAAGCACCAACTGTTCTTTCTCAGGTGTATGTTTTTGGTAACTTAATTAGAATCATTGGCTATAGATGCATGAATTCATTTCTGGGGTGTCTCCTCCTTTGGTGTATGTGTCTGCCTTCATGCCAGTACCATGCTGCTTTAGTTGTAGTACCTTGGTATTATGTTTTGAAATCAGGTATTAGGATGTTTTTTATTTCCTTTTTTTAAAAAAGATTTATTTTATTTTTTATTGGAAAGTCAGATATACAGAGAGGAGGAGACAGAGAGGAAGATCTTCCATCCAATGATTCACTCCCCAAGTGAGCGCAACGGCCGATAATATGCCGATCCAAAGCCAGGATCCAGAAACTTCTTCCGGGTCTCCCACGCGGGTGCAGGGTCCCAAAGCTTTGGGCTTTCCTCGACTGCTTTCCCAGGCCACAAGCAGGGAGCTGGATGGGAAGCGGAGCTGCTGGGATTAGAACCGGCGCCCATATGGGATCCCGGCACGATAAAGGCGAGGACTTTTAGCTGCTAGGCCATGCCGCTGGGCCCTCTATTTCCTTTTTTATTCAAAACTATCTGGGGTCTTCTGTGCCTCAGTATGAATCTTAGGAGTGTGTTTTCTAGTTCTGTGAAGATTGTCATTGGTATTTGATGCAGATGGTGTTGAATAAGAAAATCACTTTCAATAGTGTGGAATGTCACTAATAGGGAATTGCACAGTAGGTAAGATGCTGCTTAGGCTGCCTGTATCCCATAGGGAATCCGCATCACAGTGCCTGAGGCCTGTGCTGGCTGTGCCCTTAGGCCCAGCCTCCTGCTATTGGCACAGGGAGACAGCAGGTAGTGGCTCAAGTGGTCAGTTCTCTGCCACCTGCATAGAACAACTGGATTGTATTTTGTGCTCTTGGCTTCAGCCTAGGCTAGTTTTGGCTGTTGCAGGCATGTGAGGAGTAAGCAGTAGACAGAAGATATAGCTCTCTCTTCCTCCCTGTCTGCCTCTTAAGTAAATTGAACCTGTAAAGATTTTTTTTTTGGTGTGGGCAATTGGCACACTGGGTTAAGCTGCTACTTGGGATGTGCATATCCCATATTGCTGTGCTTTTCTGAGTTGCAGCACATTGGCTTGTGTTCCCAGCTTTTTGCTAATGTAGTTGGGAAGGCAAATGAAGGCAGAAGTGGTTGGGTTCCTGACATCACTAGGAGACCAGACCCTGGGGAGTGAGCCAGTAGATAGAAGAACGTACTGACATTCTCTCCTTTCAAATAAAAGTAAATCAATATTTTAAAAATATTGATTCTTCCAGCCCAAGGACCTAGGAGTCCTTTGTGTTTATGCATTCTCTAATTTCATTCATTGGTGTTCGTAACTTTCATTGTAGAGGTCTTTCACATCCTAGGGTAAATTCATTCCTAGGTTATATTACTATTTTTAATAGCTGTTATGGATGCTATTGTACTTAATATCTTCACAATTTCCTATTGATGTATGCTGTTGAATTTTGTGTTTGATTTTGTATCCTTACAGCTTCACTGAATGCCTGTGGTAGGTCTCTTGGGGTTTTCAGGATGTGGAATCATCTGCAAAGAGACAATTTGCATTTCCCCTTTCCTATTTGAATGCCTCTTGTCTTTCTTGACTAATTTTTGTAGCTAAAATACTCAATGTTACGGTAAACAAGAGTGGTGAGAGTGAACACCTTAGAGGAGATGCTTTCTACTTTCCCCTACCCAATAGGATGAGGGCTGTGAAACTGTCATAGCAGCCTTATTCATGTTCCTCCTTGAACCGTGCTTGCCTTCAGACCCACCATTGCCCTCTGCCTGTCTGTGTCCCTACCTCTGTTAACATGCCAGTCAGATTCGGTCAGTGACACAAAAGACCCAACACAGTCTAGTCCAATGCTTGATGGCATCAGCATTGAATTTTTAAAACTATTTTATTGGTTTGAAAGGCAGAGTTACCGAGGGAGAGACAGAGAAGTCTTCCATCTACTGACTTCCTTCCTAAATGGCCCACAATGGCTGGGACTTGGCCAAGCTGAAGCCAGGAGCTTCATCTGGGTCTCCTGTGTGGGGTCAAGGGCCTAAGCATTTGGACCATCTTCTACTTCTTTCCCAGGCACAGTAGCAGAAAGCTAAACTGGAAGTAGAGAAGCTAGGACTGGTACCAGTGTCCATGGGGTTGCTCACCTTGCAAGTGGTGGCGTAACCCATTCAGCATAGTGCTAGTCCCTGGATGTTCAATTTTATCAAGTGCTTTTCTGTATCTGTGGAGATGATTACAGGATTTATTCTGTGATGTGATGTGTTACTTAGAGATCTGCATATTGCTGTGGTTTGAATAGGGTATGGCTCTTTTTCAGCTGTCTTCCTCATGTAGTTAAGTCCACAATCCACTCAGTCAGTAGTGTTAGGGAAGGTGGAACTTAATCCAGTCTGCTGGCTAGGAGATCAGCCTGAGGACTGCCCTTGAGCCCAGGGCATGCCATTTGAGGGTCCATCTCCTTAGGATCAGTTGCAGACACCCACATTGCACCGTCTCTTGAATTTCATTTGGCAGTAGTTTGTTGAGTATTTTGCATATATGTTTATTAGGGGTATTTGTCTTTGGTTCTTTTTTGTTTGTTTTGGTCTTATTTTTGAATGTAACAATGCTGGGCTAGAATGAATTAGAAAGGTTCCTTTGTAATGTTTTTGGAATACTGTGAGAATTAATATTAGATTTTCCTTAAAAATTTGGTAGAATTCAGTACTGAAGCCATCTAGTCCTGGACTGGACTGTGTTGGGGGCTTTTTGTTACTGACCAAATCATATTACCAACCTATTCTGGCTCTCTGTATCATCATAGTCCAATTTTAGTGAATTTTATTCCAGAGATATATCCATTTCTTGCAGGTTTTCTAATCTATTGACATATAATGATCCTTTGTATATCTATGGTATTAATTTTTTAATTTTTTTTAAATTTTAGATGATGTTAACTTAGTTGATCAGAGTGGGATGGATCAAGCGTTAGGAAAAAGTGGGTATGATCATTGTTTCCAAAATTTCTATTTCTCCTTCTTGTTTGGGGGTGGGAAGGTAAATGGAGAAGCCACACCCAGCCTCCCAACCACTCTAGTACCCAGGGTGAAGCATGGCCACCCGATAACAAGTCAGAAACCCAGTGTAGCACATATTGCAAGGATTCTGCCCAGCTGGTTTTGATAGTTCTGAAGTGTTGTTGATTTCGCCAGTCCAAGGATGAGGGAACCCTTTTAGTGTCCATCATCTGACATAATCGATCTCAGAGTCTGCATTAGCCCTGATTTTGCTGTCAGCGTTTGGCTGGAGTAATTGTCCAATTTATTCTGTCCTTCCTCTGGGATGGTACAGGTGTCCCCTGAAGGGCTCAATTTGCTGCCATATCCTCCATGTGTATCTGGGCCAGCTGTCTACTACTCCGTCTTTTCCACTGAAGAGGACTAGTTTTCACAGTTGGGAGAAGGACCATAACCAGATGACCTGGGCTCACCAGCCCTCCCATCCCAGGTGTTCATGGACCCAAACCCTAATTTGCAGGCATGCCAAGGACATAGACCAGGCAACCTGGGCCCCGCCAGACTCCCATCTCCAGGACTCATAGGCCTGGCAACCCCAAGCACCCATTTCACAAGCAGGACAAGGACCCAGACCAGGCAACCCAGACCCTCCCGGATCCCTCAGCCCCCCGGGATTCACAGACCCAGCACCACCCTCCCCCTAACTGTCATCCACCAGAGGGTGCTGCAGCTGGCTCAGTCCACCCTGTCCATAGTACCAACTTATGCTGACAGGTGCTGCAACCCAACCAGACCCAGCCAGACCTCTGTCCCAGCCCTGATATGAACTGGCTGGTGTTACGGCCCTGCTGGTGTTGTGGCCCAATCCGGCCCCTCCTGAACCCTGTTTTGGTTCTCAGATCTGCCAGTGGATGGTATGAACTGGCCCAGCGTGGCCCACCCCCAGACCTGACCCATGTGTGCCAGTGGGTATCATAACCTGGCCTAGTCTGGGTTGCTCCTTGCCTTGGTTCTTGTGCTTATCTGCAACTACTGTGTTCTGACAAAGGAATTTCCAAAACTATTCCTCTTCCAGGAGACCTGGAAGTGGCAGGTGTTGCATACACCAGTAGGTCTTTGGCCCAGTAGACTTAGTCCACCTCTTGTCCTGGCAGAAACAGTGGCCATGCCCAACCAGCCCATACCCATTCCAGTTCTCACTGTTGGGTGCTACAGCCCAGCCACATCTGATCCACGCCCAGGCACAGCTCTCACATGCTTCAGTGGGAGCCAAGATCTGGCCCAGCCCATTGTACACTGATGCTGGCTTTCATACCTACTAATAGGTGCTGGAGTCTAGCTCAGTCTGGCACTCTCGAGACCAAGTTCATACCCATGCCAAGGGAGACTGCACAGCTTAGACCACTCCCCCATTCTGGCTCTCACACTCACTAGTGGGAACCCCAGCCCACCTGAGGTATCCTCTTAGTACCCCAACCAGGCCTGTTCCCAGCCACAGCTTTTGTATGTGCCAGAGAGATTGTTGTTCCACTGGAGTGAGAACCCATGTGCCCCCACAGATTCTGCCTCCAGGCCTGATTCAATCACGTGATGCTCAGTGTCATGGCCCAGCCACACGTTTACCCAATCCCTGTTCCGACTCTCACAGGTGGACACCTTGATCCAGCCCTACTGAGAGAGTCTCTTTGTGCCTATGAGTGGTATTCGGTGGTGGTTGACTCTACTCCAGTTCAGCCCTCCCAGGTGAACTGGTACTTCAGTCTGACTCTTAAAGTTCCTCCCATTCACTGTACAAGCAACTCAGTCTCAGAACCCTTGCTCACCTGATAGAACAATGGTAATGTTCATGGAAGTCCCTTAGAGTGTCTCACCTGGACATGAACCCTCAGGTTCCTATACACCTCCACCTGTGCCATCCACAAGACGCCTTATAAGTCCATATCCCCAGGTACTCAGAGCTCACTGTCAGGCAGCCAGAGGACTTTGCCTGCGACCATTGGTGCACTGACCACCTGACACAAAATGAAAATCCACAGTCGCAAGTCTAGACTGCCGTCCCTCCTGCTATACACAACTACATGCAGCTCAGTATTCTGTTTTTTAAGATTTATTTTTCTTTAATTTTTACTGGAAAGTCAGATATACAAAAGGAAGGAAGACAGAGAGCAAGATCTTCCATCCACTGATTAAATCCCCAAGTGGCCGCAACAGCCTTACTACACCTACCTGAAGCCAAGAGCCAAGAGTTCTTCTGGATCTCCCACGTAGGTGCAGGGACCCAAGGTTTTGGACCATCCTCAGCTGCTTTCCTAGGCGACAAGCAGGGAGCTGGATGGGAAGCAGGGCCACCAGGATTAGAACCAGTGTCCATATGAGATCCCAGCACTTGCAATTGAAGACTTCACCTACTAAGCTAGCACACCAGGCCCAGGTTTCCATTTGTTCCAAGGCATTTGTAATTTTCCTCCTGATTTCTTAGTGACCCAGTGTTCAGTCAGAAGCAGGTACCCATGTATTTGTATAACTCCTAGATCAGAATATATACAGGATAGGATTTCAATTTTTTTTTCATTTGTTAAAGCTTGTTTTGTGATCTAACCATCCATCCTAGAGAACATCCCATATTCAAAAATTGGTGTGTTCTGCAGTTGTGGGATGCAGTAATTCATCCGTGAGGACCATCAGATCTGTATCGTTGCTTGAGGCTGATGTGTCTGTGTTGATTGGTTAGCATGATCCATCCATTGATAGTGGGCTGTGACCATCCCCCACCATGAACATGACCCATCCTCCTATAGCTCCCATGTTTGGTCAAAGTGGGTACATGTCATTACACGTTTACAAGCACTGTTCTTCTCACTGGATTGATCCTCTATATAATGGCCCCCTTGTTGCTTTTTTGCACTTTTAAAAAGTATGTTCTGTCTGATATAAGAACAGTGGTAACGTCAGTGATACAAGGATGCTTACTCCTGCCCGCTTTAGGTTCAGGTTATGAGGAACATTTTCTTGGAACCATCCTCTTTCAGTATGTGTCTTTACTGGTTCAGTTGCTGTGGGAGGCAATCTATTCAGGCAGTCTGTCTCTTAATTGGGAGATTTAGTCTAATTAACATCCAAAATTATTGTTATTTTTAAGATACTGGTCTTCGGGTGCAGTGTGATAGTGTAGTGGCTAAAGGCCTCATCTTGAACACTCTAGGATCCCATATGGGTACCAGCTCTTATCATGGCAGCCCTGCTTCCCATCCAGCTCCCTGCTTGTGGCATGGGAAAGCAGTCAAGGACAGCCCAAAGCCTTGAGACCCTATAGCCATGTGGGAGACCTGGAGGAAGTTCCTGGCTCCTGGCTTTGGATCGGCTCAGCTCTGGCACTTGTGATCACTTGGGGGTGAATCATCAGACAGAAGATCTTCCTATCTGTCTCTCCTCCTCCCTATATATTTGCCTTCCCAATAAAAGTAAATAAATCTTTTTTAAAAAATTGGTCTTAAAGGCAGAGTTACAGAGAAAGTGAGAAACAGCCTTATCTGCTGGTAGCTGGCTGGTGACTCTGAACACAAGAGCTTTTTCTGAATCTCCCACATGGGTGACAGGTACCCAGGGACTTGGACCATCTTCCGATATTTGCGCAGGTCATTAGCAAGGAACTGGGTTTGAAATAAAGCAACTGGGACTACAAATGACACCCATGTGGCATGCTAGTCTTTGAAGCAATGGCTTTATCTGCTATGCCACAACACCTACCCCTCCAGGTTATTACTGGTCAGTAATGACTTAGTCTTGTTATTTAAAAGAAGTCCTCCTGTTTCTTCTGGGTCTCCTTTGGTCTGTTCGTTTATTTTTGTGGCTGGGCAGTGTGCTTAATTGAGCTTTCATTCTTTCATAGTTCCCTTTTGCCTGTCTGTTCTACGGGTCTGTTTTCCACATATACTCTCATTCTTTTCTGGGTATAGTAATTTAAGGATCTTTTTTAAGGCTGTTCTGGTAGTGATAAATTTCCTCTTTTGCTTCCCTTGGGGAAAAAAAAGCTAAAATGTATTTATTTTCATTGGAAAGGTAGAGTTGCAGAGAAAGATTTTCCATCCACTGGTTCACTCCCTAAATGGCTTTAGCAGTCAGCTGAGCTGATCCAAAGCCAGGAGCTAAAAGCCTAGCTGCTTCTGGGTTTCCCATGCAGGTGCATGGTCCAAATGACTTGGCCCAACCTTGGCTGCTTTTGCAGTCCACAAGCAGATACCGGAAGCAGTGTCTGTGCTTGGAGGTGGAGGATTAGCCAGGTTAGCCAATAAAATGATTGATTTCTCTGTTTATGATGTGTAACTTTGGTTGAAAGCTTTTGGTTTTCCGGAAATGGAGTATGTTCTTCCGTGTATATTACACTGTGTTTATGCTATTAGAGGGGAAGGTGTGACATAAAACATGCGTTTTCTCGTCTTGATTTATTTACACTTGCAAGTGAGAGTTGCAGAGTGAGAGACATGTCTTCCATGACTGGCTCACTCCCCATCCGGCCGCCATAGCCCGGGGCTGGGCCAGACCAAAGGCAGCAGCCAGGAGCTTCTTTCCAGTCTCCCACATGAGTGGAAACTTTGAAATTCTTTCCTCATGGTGTACTTTTGAGAGTTTGACTACAACATGAAACAATGAGGATCTAATCTGGTCATTTCCATCCGGGTCTGTGGGCCTCCTTTACCTGGACATGTGTTTCTTCTCCAAGGCAGGGGAAGTTTTTGGCTGTTGTTTTCATGAAGAGGTTTGGATCTCCTTGGAACCGGAGAGGGGCAATGTGGGCAGTTCTTTCCTAGCTGCCTTCTTCAGTGCATCTCTTACTGTTCTTGTGCTCAAAGCGAGTCTGCCGCTGTCTAACGCAGTTCCTCGGCCGTTGTGAGGGTGGTTCTGTGTGTGAACAGCTGGTCCACTTGATTTTCCTGGTGACAAGGTTGCCAGAGACTCTGATTCAACTGCCATCTCCCTCAGCCTCACCACACAGCTCCTTTAACTCTCATCTCTCAGGATGACTGGCTGCCATCCTGGGGATTTCTTAGTGACACTGATATCAAACTATAGAAGTAACATGATCTGAAAGTTGTGGGTGCATCTCAGTCTTTCCCTAGGATTTTTGAGAACGTCTGTAGCTGGAATGTAAATGTTTTTGCCAATAACTTGCAACTGAAAGCCAGGAAACATTGTGACCTTTTTATTTTCTCCTCCTCTTTCTTAGGATATTATTCTCATCGGGAAACTGTGAATGGCTCGTGGTACATTCAGGATTTGTGTGAAATGTTGGGAAAATACGGATCCTCCTTGGAGTTCACAGAACTCCTCACACTGGTGAACAGGAAAGTCTCTCAGCGCCGGGTGGACTTCTGCTTAGACCAAAATGCCATTGGGAAGAAGCAGGTCCCTTGCTTTTCCTCAATGCTAACTAAGAAGCTGCACTTCTTTCCCAAAGCTAGCAACTAGGGGCTGTTTTGTCTCATGATGTGTGTCCAAAATGTTTCCCTTTCTGTCACCAGCAATTGAGATGTTTTAAGGTTTAGTATTCAACAGGGAACTTCATGGATAGCCCATGGTGGATATGGACTTAAGGGTTTGATATACAAATAGAAAAATAAATACTCAGGACATTCCCAGGAAAGACTACCAGCATTTGAATACTTAATCTTCTTAGTAAACTTTAGTACTACCCAGTTTTGCCCTAACACTTGATAATTATATTTTATTAAAATTTTTTTTAATTCACATTGTCATTTGTATAATTTGTAGAATTGTTTTACTTGATCCTGCTGTGGCTTAATAGCTGATACGATTACCACATTTTGTTGATGACTTTAACTGCCACTTAATCAAGCACTGTGACATTCTGTATCAGAGGGTAAAGTGCCTGCCAAGCACACAGACCATCACACCTTCATGCGGGAAGAAACACACCCCAGGCTGTGGGGGGACCTGAGCCGCCAGCAGCTGCTGGGGCTCTGAAGCACACATAGAGGACTCCACAACCCAGAATACTCAGGTGAGATTTTGAAAGAACACTTTTTTAGAAAAAAATAAGAATTTGTTAGCTAGAATTTGAAAGCAATTGAAATGAACCATGAGACTCAGAAGTGGCATTTGTAAGGTGCTCAGTCAACATAGGGAAAAATCCAGTAAAAGGTAAGATTAATTCTTTCCACTGAGCTCCTCTACTTGCATTCTCAAATAGAGCAGGTGGCGCACCTGTCTCAGGGACTCTGTGGCCTGTCACGAGAGAAAGAAATAGAAACACGTGACCAGAGGAGGAAACCCATTGCCGCAGCAGGGACTCCTTACAGAGCGTGCCCCAGGGCAGCAGAGTACATTGAAACTACTAAGTAGGGCCCAGCGCGATGGCACAGTGGTTAAGGTCCTCGCCTTACACGCCCAGGATCCCATATGGACCCTGGTTCTAATCTCGGCAGCCCCACTTCCCATCCAGCTCCCTACCTGTGGCCCAGGAAAGCAGCCAAGGATGGCCCAAAGCTTTGGGACCCTGCACCGGCATGGGAGACCCGGAAGAGGTTTCTGGCTTCAGATTGGCTCAGCTCCAGCAGTTGCGCTCACTTGGGGAGTGAATCATCGGACAGAAGATCTTCCTCTCTGTCTCTCCTCTCTGTATATCTGCCTTTCCAATAACAATAAAATAAATCTTAAAAACAAAAAGAAACTACTAAGTAGTGAATACCGAAAATCCATCACTGTTATCATGTTGGTTTTTTGGAAGGTGAGTTTTACTATTTGTATTATAATTGAATGATTTTTTTTAACTAGCAGATTAAATCTTTCCTAATGGCCTTTCCAGCTTGTATTTAAAACAACCCGTCTCTGTTCTTTACCACCTGTTCTTTTTTTTGCCTGATTGATATGTTTTTAAAATCTTAAATGATCCTGTCCTTATAAACTAGCTGTGAGACTATCCATTGCTTAGCCTGGGATTGAATCACCCAAATGTAAAAGGAGTTCACACAACTACAAAAGCATTCTAGTTTTCCTACATGATTTTTATGACATGCTTATTTTTTGAATGTTCAATTTGGGGGTTACATGATTCTAATTTACAATGTCAGAGGCAATTTAGAAGGTACAAATAGCAAAAGATACAGTGATTACTGACTGTTCAGTGAGTGTGCAGGTGGCAGTGTAGAGTTTTTGTTAAGATGGATTTATTTGAACATCATAGCAACAGAGAGAAGGATTTTGTCTACTGATGCACTTACTAAGTGGCCACAAGAGTCCAGGCTGACACGTTGAACAACTCCTGGGTCCTCTGGTAGGTGGCAGGGAACCAAACCTTTGGGCCACCCTTGCCGCCTCACCAGGGCTGTTAGCAGGGAGTTGGATCGGAAGTGCTCCAACTGTAAACAATAGCATCACAATTGGTGGCTTAAACTGCAGCACTACATGGCTAGCCTCAATGAAGGAGATCTTACTAAAGTTATTTGCTTATAAAGATTAGAACTACAGTTCTATGCTAAGAAATCCCCATGAGCCCAAATTCATGAATAAAGCATGAGTCCAGAGGCAGGAGCTGCTAAAGGAGCCAGTCTGGCAATGGCAGTGGCTTCCCTTCATGTTCCCAATGTTTGGGAAGTTCTTTTATAATTCCATGAATACTTCCTGCAATCCTGCCTCTATTTGCACACCTTCAGGAATTCCTATACTCAACATTTGATGTTTTGATGGTGTCATTCATTTCTTGGATAGATAAGTCAAAATTATAGTAAAATGTATGTAACAATTAACCATTTTAATCATATCAGGTGTATGGTTCAGTGGCATTAAGTGGATTCAAATTATTTTGTAACCATCACTATCATCCATCTCCAGACATTTCCATCTTTATTTTTTATTCCATTGTTATTTATGTATCTATGTAAAATGAGCAACTTTCACATATTTCATGGTACAAATTTAGGATCACAGCAATACTTCCCACCCTACTCTGTACTGCCAACGTTTCCCATCGACCCTCCCCTGCTCATAAGGAGCTGCACACAGGAACTGTGGTCTAAGCTATTGGCTCTTGAAATCTCTGATGGAACACTCCTACAGTGGTCTTTATGAGTTATTCCCAGAGCATCATGAAAATGAATGAATGTGAATTTAAGTTTCATGATAATTATTGGCATTCCTCCACTATGGTTCCTATAAATTACTTTGATAGAGCATGAGGACTATTTGGGGTAGATCAGACCAGGCTGGACTGCAGCACCTGTTGGCATATGTGTGGGTTCAGTATGGAGGTGGGCCATATTGGGCCAGTTTGCAGCACACTAACATAAATGAGAGGACAGGGTGAGGCCAAGCCAGGAGGCGCTTAACACCCCCAGCTCACATTGGCTGGGGCTGGATGTAAGCTGGGCTGTGCTAGACTGCTGCTGCACCTTCAGTTGAGTGCTGGGACCAGGGGTGAATGGGCTGAGCCAACTGTAGTACCTGCTGGCAAAGGCTGAGACTGGGGATATGCCATACCAAGCTCGGCCACAGTTCCCACTGGCATGTGCAAGACCTGGAGCTGGGAGTAGGTGTGGTAGGGGAACTTTGGAGACCCCCTGCTGGTCCTCTTATTCTACTGGGAAGTGGGAGAGGAGGGAATGAGGGCAAGCCAGGCCAAACAAGGCAACAGCATAAATGTGAGCCTGGTCTTCAGACAAGTCGGGATGAGCTAAGCTCCATCATCAATAGGTATGCACAAGAGCTGGATGGGATGTGGGATGGGATGGGCTAGGCCTCAGCACATGCCAGTCCATGCAAAAACTGTGCCTGGGACAGCCCTGGTAGGGATTAAGGGGGATCGTCCTGATAAGGCCCTGGCACTTGCTGGTGTGCGTAAAGACTGGTCACATGATATATGGCCGGACAAGGCTGCAGCGTGTATTGTTTTGTGTGAGAGATGGGGCTGGAGTGGAACTGACCCTATACTAACTGGTACACACAAGAGTTAAATCTGAGTCATCGCAGGTGAAGTTTTTGAGGAACTTCCCAACTAGACCACTGGACTCAGACCACAGCCACTGGGAAAAACAAGAAACATGGTCTGGCCTTGGCATGTATGTATCCTGACTGACCCTCTCAGTTGCTGTTGCCTTTGTAATAGAGCATGCCCAGATGCACATGGGGGACATGACAGTCAGATTATCCAGGCCAGAAGAATATGTCAAGATCCTTGTCAGAGGCTGGAAAGCAGAACAGGTTGGATCACTAAAGCAAAAGAAAGATTACTTCGGGGCCGGCGGCGTGGCTAGTGGCTAAAAGTCCTTGCCTTGAACGCGCCGGGATCTCAAATGGGCGCTGGTTCCAATCTTGGCAGCTCCACTTCCCATCCAGCTCCCTGCTGGTGGCCTGGGAAAGCAGTCAATGATGGCCCAAAGCTTTGGGACCCTGCACCCGTGTGAGATACCCGGAAGAAGTTCCTGGATCTTGGCTTCGGATCGGCATAGCATTGGACAGAAGATCTCTGTGTCTCCTCCTCTCTGTATATCTGACTTTCCAATAAATGAATAAATCTTTTTAAAAAATGTAAATGTTAAAAAAAAGATTACTTCGTGAAAGATATGTGGAAGCATAAAACCCACTAGAAGCACAGATATGCAAAAGATTAATATAAAAAAATCAAATATTATAGACACTACACATAGCCTCTTAAACTCTAGGCCTGTGTCACTTGTCTCTGGGTAGCAATCTTTGGTCTGTGTGAAACAGGGAGCAGCCAGGAATCTGAACACGGGAAGGTGGGAGGGGAAATGTGCAAGGTATGCAAGAGATAGAAACAGGGATAGACATTTGGCCTGGCAGTTGAGGTCCTGGGTTTGAGTTACCACACCATTCCCTGTTCTAGCTTCCTGCTGATGGACACCCTCGGAGACTACAAGGGATACCTCAAAGATTTCAGACTGCCATTTATGTGAGAGTGAGGATTGAGTTTCTGGCACCAGACCTTAGCCTTTCAAAGCCCTGAATGTTTGAAGTATTTACAGGAATAAGCAAAAAGACGGCAATTCACTCTGTCTCTCAAATATTTTTTTAAAAGTTGGAAACAGGATAAGTAATGTGCAAATTACAATTTAAACTGACATACCCTGCAAGTTTTCTTTATCCTTCAGACATCTTTTTTAGTTGCTAATGCTTGTAGCTTTCAACAGTAAGTCCAACTGTTAATGAAAATTAGCATATACATTACAGATACATAGCAATAACAAATACATTGCTTTTCCTTTTTCCAGACTTTTAAACACTGGTGTATTTACTGTACTTTTTCTAGATAAACAATTTATGTGTTTTATATAATTTATTGTTAAAACCACTGACAGGAGAGCTTGGTAACAAAGCATACAGAATTAGAAGTGCTTCCCAGAGGGTCCAGCTCAATGGTTCAATCCTCACCTTGCAATTGCTAAGGTCACGTATGGGCACTGATCAGTGTCTTGGCTATTTCACTTCCTATCCAATTCCTGCTTATGGCCTGGGAAAGCAGTAGAGGATGGTCCAAGTCCTTGGGACCATTCATATAGGAGACCTGGAAGAGGATCTTCACTCTGGGCTCCTGGCTTTGGATTGACCCAGTCTGTCCAATTTGGGAATAAACTAGTAGATGAAATCTCTCTCTTATTTATATCTTAATTTTTGTTTTTCATGATATAGTTACTTAGGCTCAAGGATATCTCCATCTAATCCACCCCCCATTTCCCATTATATTGTAACAATAGTATAGTCCTAAAACAATT